TATATCATTATGTAATTGCCAAATTACATCATTACACACCTGCCAAATTACATCATTACATAACTGCCAAATTACATCATTACATAACTGCCAAATTACATCATTACATAACTGCCAAATTACATCATTATGTAACTGCCAAACCACTGAGAATCATGGTTCAGCAAGCTGACACCTCACCTTACCCATCACAGCCAGTGTAACTCTCATCTCGTACCTTGGTATTCGTTACTGCCAGACATACATCGTTAACGTGCAGAATGATTGGAGAACAGATTTTCACTGTTGTCATAAATGCAAAATGTCAGACAATGAGATAGTTGGTGAGTGAGGAGTAGATACAATACATACGGGTGGAGCCCTCCCATAAAATTGCAGCCAGATGGAGTTCTGGTCTCAGTGGCTTAGCAGCAAAAGCTGTGGGGAGGTTGTCCTCACTCAGAGACCTCAGAGTGCTAGCTTGGTGGGTCAGGAGGCTGGACCTCAGAACATAGCCCTAGCCAGTTTCGGGGCATCTCTGGACTTTGGGGCATCAGGAACCCAGCCCTCTGTTTGCAAAGACTCGCTTGACATGTGTGATGGTGCCACGATCCCATTTGGTGACTTCCTTCATGCCATGTGAAGTGGATCATGGGATTAAGAACAATGGCATGGCACTAAGGAGGCACAGGCAAGTAGTTGGCTGGATTAAGGAAGTGCATTGATTTTGCACCTGTCTTATCACAGTGCATTCATCGTGACCTGGCAGCACGCAACATCCTGTTATCTGAGAACCACGTGGTGAAGATTTGTGACTTTGGCCTTGCCCGCGATATTTACAAGAACCCCGATTATGTGAGAAAAGGGGATGTAAGTCAGTGTAATGTTTACTTGTCTCGTTGATACTCTCTCATTTTCAACCATGGACTGAGGCCCTGGTAAATACGTATACTTCCCCACAGTGGTGGGCCCTGAACGCCGTTACATGCTCTCTGTGCAGGCGAGCTGTCCAGATGGGCTGTGCACCAGAGAGCCCTTGTGGGGGCGCAGAAAGGCCATGGGTTCCTCCCATAATTCCTGGGGTGGTACCTGCTTTGGGCCGCACCGTCTGAAGACTTGCTCCTCTGAGAAGTGTTCACTGGGACCCTGGGAAGCCATACCGTTTACCTCTCGTTGGCTCCTGGCGGAGTGCCCTGAACTTCCCAAGAGAACAGCCCGGACTCTTCCCCTCATTTAAACCCAGATAATGGATTCAGCAGGTGGATGTATCTCAGGAAAGGGTGGGGGACCTCAGGGGGGAGGAAGTGTTTACCTCCTGCGTCTGCCTTCCATGCCCAGCCTGTCCCCACCGCTCACACTGGCTTCTCTCCTCCACTTGTTTTTGGACATAGTGTTATTTGTCTCTTGTGGGTGACCTCTTGTGTCCTGTCTTATCTGGTCTCCTTGAGGCCTGAAGCCTATGTCAGGGCACTGAAGATGACTCCACAGCAGTGGTTCTCAAACTTGAGTGTGCGTCAGCATCCCCTGGACCCCAGCCCCAGAGCTGAGGCCACAGCACGTCTTGGGTGGGGCCTAAGAACTTGTATTTCTAAGAAGCCTCTAGGTGATATGGAGGCAGCTGGTCCCAGGACCAGGCTTCAAGAACTGCTGCTGCACAGTGTCTTTTTATAAAAAGAAAGAAAAAGAAAACTTTTCTTGGGAGCCCTGGCTTGCAAAGATGGCGTCCACCTGTGTCTGTCCTTTTCCTCCTCAGCCGCTCCCTCAAGTTTTCACGTTGTCTCTCCATTATCTGCTCCTCCCTGCCAATTCCCATCCATCAAAAGCAGCAAAGCCTTCCTTACTGGGATTTCTGCCATCTAAGTGTGAAGGAAGATTTATTGGCTCGCTTGACCACATTTTAAACGTTAATACGTTTTAAACACCGCCTCTTGGTCACTGTCACTTGTCCTCTTAACTACTTCCTGCCTCATTGACTTTTGAAGTCCTGTCTTTTAGCCTATGCATGGCATTCAAACTTCCTCCTTCTTAATACAAACTTGTGGGAATTACTGGTTTTTAGGATGTTTTCAAATTCAACTTGCTCTTTTTTAGACCCTAAGTGGCCCTATAGAAGGAGCCCTGGTAGTACCATGGTTACACACTCAGCTGCTAACCACGTCACTAGTTTGAGCCCACCAGCTGCTCCACGGGAGAAAGATGTGGCAGTCTGCTTTAATAAAGATTAACAGCCTAGGAAACCCTGTGGGGCAGTTCCACTCTGTCCTCTAGGGGCGCTGTGAGTC